GTTCATATTTTCCTTTCAGAAACTTTCAGTGTGATCTCTAATATGGATCTCACTTCATTTGTTTTTGTTTTTTTAAATAACCCATAGTAGTTATATATGTTACTACATTTTCTTTTCAGTCACAAGCATCTTGAATGTGTGTATTTCCAAATGCTTTGTATCTCCAAGGCACTCTGTAAATACTGACTGAATGACTATTCAAATACACTTGAAGACTCCAAAGACTGTGTTTTCATGGATATAGTGTTTTTGCAGAGCTACAGATAGGGGAATAAATCCTCTCTCTCTCTCTGAAAGAATAATAAGTTCAATTTACTTAATTAGCTAATGATACAAAACTAAACTTTTAAAGCAGGAAGACAGAGTAGAAACAGGGTATCCCATTTTATCATGGTTTTCCTTCGCACACTCTAGAGAGTGTGCAGTAGCCAGGACCACCTTATGACAAGGTTAGTTTCTTGCTAGATATTGAAGATTCAGTTATCTGCTATTTTTTTGCCACTTTGTATTCTAGACTTACATTACCAGTAGTGATGAACTTACTTTAAATTTAGGTCTTTAATAATAAACATTTATGTTTCTCCAGGATCTTTCTGCTCTCCAGTTAAACTCAGCTTCATGTGAAAAGTAGAGGGATGAAGTAATAGGCTCAAAGATTGGTAGTCTCTGAGTAATGAGGCATTCTAATTTGGAGTTTGGTTTAAGAGCCACAACAGAAATCTGTTTCTCCACATTTTAAGATTCCATAGGGGAAGATCTTACTCAGAAGTGGTTTTTAACTTTTGGATTTAGTCCAGGAATGGAAATGTATTAGATTCTGTTATTTGCAACAACAGAACTCTGGCTAATTAAAACATAAAAAAGGAGATATGTAATTAGAGGCTTATGGAATCTAAGGGTGGGCCAAATTTATCAATACTAGGAGAGTAGTACAAAGCTTTGCCAAAAGGTTTAAGGGTTGAAACAAGCAAAAAATACACCAAAACTTACTTTTGTAACAAATAGTAAAACTCATAATATAGAAAAATTAGAAAGTAAAAATCACTCATTACTTTCTAGAAATTAAACTAAAAGATGAAAAAAAAATCCTGTTAGTTACATTAGTATTTGTGTATTAGTAGAGCCAACACCTTAAAAAATAGCCACTTATACCTTTTTTTTTTTTTTTTTTGTAAATATTGACCTTGTTCATTAGGGATTACTCCCTTCTGATTAAGTCTCCCAGCCTTTTTTATTTGGTGATTTTTGTATCTCTGCTGTCATGCTGAGAGACAGGCTTTCCCAATCTAAATGTTGTAGGATGTTTAAAATATAATTTTGCACCAATGGGTCACTTCCCCTCAACCCCACAGTATCTCCAAATACTGCTTTTAGTAATGGTGGTTCACTAGGCTGTGGTTTTTCTGGGTTTTAAGGAGATATAATTAGGCCAGTACTACCTGTCTTAGTCAATTTGGGGTGTGTATTATAGTCCATTTGTGTTGCTATAAAGTAATGCCTGATAGTGGGTAATTTATAAAGGAAAGGGCTTATTTTGGCTCACCATTCTTCAGCCTGCACAGGAAACATGGTGCTGGCATCTGTTTCTGGTGAGGGCCTCAGGAAGCTTACAATTATGGCAGAAGGTGAAGGGGAGCTGACACATCACATACTAAGAGAGAGCACAAGAAAGGGCAAAGGGTGAGCTCTTTTAAATAGCCAGATCTCCTCTCCTGTGAACTCAGAGAGTGAAAACTTGCTCGTTACCACAGGGACAGCACCAGCCTATTAATGAGGGCTCCACTCCCATGACCCAAACACCTCTCACAAGTCTACCTCCATTATTGGAGGTCACATTTCACCATGAAGTTTGGAGCGGACGAAACATCCAAACCATCTCAGTTTACTAGAACAAAATGCTGTAGACTGGGTGACTTACAGCAGACATTTATTGCTCACAGCTGGGGAGACTTGGAAGTCCAAGATCCATGTGCCAGCAGATCCAGTTCTTGATGAGGATCTTCTTCCTGAATTGTAGACAATCACTTTCTCACTGTATCTTAACATGACCTAGAAAAAGAGAAGGAGCAAGCTCTCATGCAGGGGAGCACACCAGCATGAATTTATGTAAACTTAAGTATCATGCAGAGGCCTCTCTACCAAATACTATCACATTGAGGGCACAGCTTCAGAATGAATTTTAGGGAGGACACAGTCACTCCGTGACACTTCTCTTATTCTACTTTTTGTTGTTGTTTGACCTCCATCTGAGGGTAAAATAAAAACTAGAAATTTTTTCTTTGGTCCTCAGTAATGTTAGGTTTGCCTTTCTAGGGTAATTAGTGTTATTTGTCAAGATATACAGAAAAGTTTTATCTGCGTACGTATGTACAGGCAATCATTTTTTACTTTTAGGTCTTCAGTCAATCTAGGGTTTTTGTTTGTTTTCCTTTCGGTGTTTAGTATCAAAGAGGGATCTGTATTTTTCCAAGTATTTTGCTCAGGCTCTTTCAGTATTGACTAATTTATTATTTCCACACTCAAAATTTTAGCTTTATTATATACCACATTCTATTATATATAGGTCTGTTTGTATTCTTTGAATTATTTTATGTTACTAATATGAAACTTTTTATTGTTTTTACTTTAATGTTTTTCCTCCTCTAAAGTAGTCCGTTAGTGTTTTGAAATATTTTTGGCAGTTACTTCTACTCTGTTTTTCTAAAATTTTTATTGGAGTTTTCACTATAATTGCATTTCATTTGTGTATTAATATACAGAGAATTGACAGGTAAATAAGTTTTCCTATTTAGGAATATGGCATAGCCTCCATTTTTTCAAGTCAGATTTGTAAGTTTGTTTTTTACAGTTTTACTCATGAGTGTTTTAAATACTAATGTTTACAAATATAATTGAACCCTTTTCTGCAATAAATGTGTAAATATATCACCCATTGTAACATGCTGATTATATAGTTCATATACATTTTGCATATGTTTATAAGCAACCACATTATTGGTTCTAATAGCCCTTTATTTCATCTTCTTGGATTTTTCAAGTAACAATTCTTTCTATTTCTTCCTAATATTTATTGTTTCCTTTTTCTTATTACACTGGATTGAATTTCCAGTCTCAGTTGAACAATAGTAATGATGGTGCATCATCTTATCTTGATCTTTTTTTAATAGCCATGCCTCTTTCTGTTTAATGTTGATAATGGCCACTGATTTGAGAATAATCTGGTTTATTAAGAGTCCTTTTCTCAGATTTTCTTTTTAAATCAGATAGTAAATGCTAAGTTTTATTAAATGCCTTTTTAACATCAAATAAGAAAGTGGTGTGAGCTCTTAATGTGAGGAATAGTCTAAAAATGTCCTTGTGTTCTTGGAATAGTCCTACTTGGCTGTGTAGTTTTTTTAAATACAGAGCTGTTATTTCATAATAAATGAATTTTTTAATTAATATGCATGAGACTGCTTTTTTATTTGTTTATAAAGTACCAAGGTTGTAATGGGTTGCTAAAATACATTAGAATACTTTCATATTTCATGTATCTTGGATTAATTTTAAAGCTTAGTAGTTATCTGTACTCCAGCATTATAGAACGTGATAGCAAATTTTCGGGGCCTGATACTTTTTTGGGGCAGTGGTTAAAAACTGAAACTTTTTAATTCATAGCTGTTAAGCACAGTCAGTGTGCATTGTGAGTCCCTTTTTGTAATATCCTCAGTCATCTGGTAGATAATAAAATTTGCCTTATAATTTACTTTTTGTTTTTGATTTTTCCTCCAAAAATATTAATGGAAATAACATTGCATAAAGTTTTTGACATTATTTCGACATGTTTGAACATGGTTAAATGCATTTTTTTATTATCTTGTGAAACCCTTCTGCATTTCAGTATTCATTTAAAAATATTAATTAGATGTAACTTTTAAAGGTATTGTTTATTGTTTATACAGTTTCCATTTTTGAGTGCTTATTTTGGTTTACTTCTTGGTTTGTGTGTTTGCTCATTTATTTTGTTAGGCTGCAAATGTGAGTGGTAGACCTCCAAGGAATTGTTATACATATTTTAATATACTTGTCAATTAGCAGAATCTTGCTTGACTATAGTAGTCATCAATATTAGCCTTATTTCCCTCAAAACATTGTAAGTTTTGCTCTATTGCTTTTAGGAAGGAAGTATTCTATGGAAGAAGTTTGAAGTCATTTTAACTTTTGCTTGTGAATTTTTTTTTTAACTCTGAAATGGAAAAACTATTTTACATTTATATAACCATTTCTTCATTAGTATTTTCTGGCAATAGGATCTGTCTTGAGTGACTTTTCAGTAGAGATACTTGATTTAGGGACTCTCCAAAAGAAGATACTTTGGTATTATATTTGGTTTGGGAGATCCTACATAAGTTATCTATTGCTGTGTAAAAAATTTACCCCAAAACATAGTAGCTTTAAGACAGTATCCATTTATTGTCACTCAGTTTTTGTGTGCCAGGAATCCAGGCATGACTTAACTGAGTCCTCTACTTGGGTCTCACAAGGCTGGAGTCAAAAGTGTCAGCCAGAGCTGGGAACTCATGTGAAGGCTTGACTGGAGAAGGATCTTCCTTCCAAGTCAACTCAGTCCTAATCTAGTGCTTTTTTCACCACAACACATATTGGTGTATTGTTAATTTATTTGCTAGTCACATTTGGATCTCATATCCAGTCCAGAGAACTTGTATTTCATTTCTTTTTATTACTCAGTTGTAAGTTTTGTTTGCAGTGCTTGTGAGTGCATGTGTGTATGTGTGTGTGTGTGTGTGCACGTGCATGTGTGTATGTAGCTAAAGATAGTTGTAAGTTTTGTGTGCAGTGCGTGTGAGTGCACGTGTGTATGTGTGTGTGGGTGGGTGTGTGTACGCGCGCGCATGTGTGTATGTAGCTAAAGATAGTTACAGATGGGGGCAGGAAGAGAAGAGAATGTTGACAACTTTTTTCTATTTTAAGAATTGCAGTACTTTTTTTTTCCTCCATAGGGGCCTTAGCTGGACCAATTATCGTGGAGCCACATGTCACAGCAGTATGGGGAAAGAATGTTTCATTGAAGTGTTTAATTGAAGTAAATGAAACCATAACACAAATTTCATGGGAGAAGATACATGGCAAAAGTTCACAGACTGTTGCAGTTCATCATCCTCAGTATGGATTCTCTGTTCAAGGAGAATATCAGGGAAGAGTCTTGTTTAAAAACTATTCTCTTAATGATGCAACCATTACTCTACATAACATAGGATTCTCTGATTCTGGAAAATACATCTGCAAAGCTGTTACATTCCCGCTTGGAAATGCCCAGTCCTCTACAACTGTAACTGTGTTAGGTAGGTATGGTTGAATTATGTATTTTGGTGATAGTGGTGACGGTTATAATAAAAATATTTTCAATAAAATGGTTGAAATTTTATTTAACTTTAGGTTTAAAGTAAAGGAATTCAAATATGATTTAAGATCTTAAAATTTATGGTCCTAGGTTCTCTTTAAATAAAATCTTTTCTTATATAACCACTTATCTATATAATACTACATAGTTTTAGCTGGTTTCTTTACGAAAGATCATGCTGAGTTTTGATTATATACTAAGTTCTGAGTTCCTTTGACACTTTATTTTCTTTACTTCCCCTCAAATTTTCAGCCTCTAATTAAATTACCATCTTAAGTATTTTCATTTTAAAAAAAATAGTTTTGAATCTACAAGTCATTGACACCTCGTGTTTTAATTTTTCATATCCAATTTTATTTCTGCTATTTTAAATTTGCCTAGCTATCTGAATATTGTGCTTTTGCTCCTAATAGTGATATTTCACCATTTCCTATCTGATAACTGTTAAAGTTGATGGTAAAATGGTGAAAAAGCTTGTGAACCTTAAGCTACTTGCAGTGAAATGTAAACCAGTTTGGAAATGCTGATAAGTTCTTTTTAAATGATAGAAATGAAGATTGAGAAGTAATAGCAACTGGTGGCTGCTGACATGATAACCTACTGCTTAGGCTCTATTTAGACAGCTACTAGTAATCTGGGTAGCTGACAGCTTCCAGCTGTTGGCTCCTTTAAGATTACTTCAGTTTCTGAGTCAGGGCTATTCTTTTTGTGAGTGACCTCAGGCCAGTGACTAAGTGAGGCCGTGGTAGCCAAGGGTAAGGTCTTCTTGGGGCCAGTGATTGAATAAGATAGTGGTGTGAAGATTTTTACCCAAAGTGGGACTCCTTTAATGGAATCTGCTCATTGGCCTGATGGAGACTTTGTCAAGGTGCTGATAGCTCCCCTTACTCAATGTTCCTTCTCCCTTTTCTCCCAATTATCATTCTTTAATAAGCCTCTTATACTTCTCACATCACAGTGTCTGCTTCCCAGAGAACCAAACAAATTAATAGCCCCTAATGTTTAAGGACGTAATATTAGTCTCTGAAATAGAGGACACCAATTTTGTCTAAATGTATTATATATTTTTTCATGTTGAGAGAGATTATTTTAAAATAAAAATAAAATTAGATATTTGAGGCTTAATATGTTTAAGACACTGGCCTAAGAGCTATGGGGAAATATAACTTACATTTAAGAGATTGATATTTTTGAGAAATTTTCTGATTAGAAGGCAAGGCATGAATATCCAAAAACTCACCTGCAGGACATCAGTCATAACACAGGTCAGGCACGGTGGCTCACACCTGTAATCCTAGTACTCTGGGAGGCCAAAGTGGGTGAATCACAAAGTCAGGAGATCGAGACCATCCTGGCTAACATGGTGAAACCCTGTCTCTACTGAAAATACAAAAAATTAGCTGGGTATGGTGGTGAGCACCTGTAATCCCAGCTGCTCGGGAGGATGAGATGGGAGAATTGCTTAAACTCAGAAGGTGGAGGTTGCAGTGAGCCGAGACTCCACTCAGGCCTCGGCAATAGAGCAAGGCTCCGTCTCTTAAAAAAGAAAAAAGAAAAAGGTTTGGGAGGCCGAGGCGGGTAGATCACAAGGTCAAGAGATCGAGACTATCCTGCTCAACATGGTGAAAGCCTGTCTCTACTAAAAATACAAAAAATTAGCTGGGCATGGTGGTGCATGCCTGTAATCCCACCTACTTGGCAGACTGAGGCAGGAGAATTGCCTGAACCCAGGAGGTGGAGGTTGCTGTGAGCCAAGATTGCGCCATTGCACGCCAACCTGGGTAACAAGAGCGAAACTCCGTCTCAAAAAAAAAAAAAAGGGTAACAAAAGTACTGTATGGCATGGCTCACTCCTGTAATTCCAACACTTTGGGAAGCAGCGGCATCTGGGTCACTTGAGGGGTACATGACCAGCCTGGTTAACATGGCAAAATCCCGTGTCTCCTAAAAATACAAAAATTAGGCAGGCATAGTAGTGCATGTCTGTAATCCCAGCTACTTGGGTGGCTGAGACTTGAGAATCACCTGAACTCGGGAGTCGGAAGTTTTCAGTGAGCCAAGATCATCACATCACTGCACTCCAGCCTGGGCAACAGAATGAGACTCTGTTTCCAAAAAAAAAAAAAAAAGAAGACAAGTGCTTTGCCTGTGAAGGAGCTAGCTCATGGGGATAAAATCACTTCTTATTTTGCTTTAAATTTTAGTAGTTCCCTCTTAATTAATACAATACTTACTGGCTTAACAGCTAGGCTGTTTGTTACAAGATTAGTCATTATTTTGCCAATGCATACATCTCTCGCTTATCTATTCTACTTCTTGCTGCTCTTTTTTCAAAAACCCAAGTCTTACCATCATAATAAACTGTTTGCAGTTTTTTTAACCTACGTTTTCATTGGTGTTTCTCTTTTTGCCTGGATTGCCTTTTTTTCTGTCCTCTCTTTCTTCCTATATTCTATATTAACTGTTACTCATCAAGTCACATCCTTTTAGTAGTCATTCTTGACCCCTTTTCCCTAATCTGATGCTTTTTTGGCTGTCATTTGTTATGTTGAACTATCTTTATTGTAGCAGTTACTACACTATTATGTTTTCTCCACTGTAAACGTGGTGGACAGTGACTGTGCATTTTAAAATTTAATTTTATGTCCCTAAAGCCAGTAAGAGTTTCCAATGTATAGCAGTAATACAGTGTTATTTGAGTAGGATATAGGAATGGATTAGTGAACTTGGTAGTCAAGAAATATTTTGTAGGAGAAAGAGTTGAGTCAGTCCTCAGTGGTGAGTAGGTTTTGGGTAGGAAAATGGTATTCTAGAATTTGATAGTATGTGAACCAAGGCAGGGAAGCAGAAAACAATATGCACTTCACACTTGAACAACATGGGTTGGAGCTGTGTAGGTCCACTTATACATAGATTTTTTTAAACTAACTGCAAATAGAAAATAGAGTGTTTGTGGGATGTGAAACCTGCATATATGAAGGGCCAACTTTTCCTGTACACAGATTCCACAGGGCCAACTGCAGAACTTGATGATGCATGAATTTGAGTATACTCGGGGACCGTGGAACCAACCCTCACCACCCACCGTGAGGGTGTGCTAAGGAACCACTAAACATTAAGGCAAAGTTTTCTTAACCCCAGTATTGTTGACATTTTGGGTCAGGATTCTTTGTTGTAGTGAGCTGTACTATTTGTCATAGACAGCATCTGTGGCCTCTAAACACTATGCCAGTAAATGCCAATAGCATTCCTCAGCTGTTAAACTCAGAATGTCTCCAGACACTGCCAAGTGTCCTCAAAAGGGGAGCAGGAGTTAGTGGGGAATCACCCTTTGTTGAGGTGATTCCTTTGTCCAAAGGATTTATAAAGTACAAGAATTAAAGTTCAGAATTATAGAGTAGGACCATGTTAAAGTAACTTAAATGCTTGGATATGGAATTTGAGTTTTATATTATTAGAAATTCATATTTTGTATACAATGGTTGTGCTGCTTCTCACCTGTCTTCTATTCTCAGACCCTTGCTTTTTAAAACATAGTTCATGGACCAGAAGCATTGGCATCACTTGGGAGCTTGTTAGAAATATTTTCAGGCCAGGCACTGTGGCTCATGCCTGTAATCACAGCACTTTGGGAGGCCAAGGTGGGTGGATGACTAGGTCAGGAGTTCGAGACCAGCCTGGCCATATGGTGAAACCTAGTCTCTACTAAAAATACAAAAATTAGCTGGGCATGGTGGGAGCACTCCTGTAGTCCCAGCTGCTCCTGAGGCTGAGGCAGGTGAATTGCTTGAACCCAGGAGGCAGAGGTTACAGTCAGCCAAGATCACACCATGGCATTACAGCCTGGGTGACAGTGAGACTCCCTCTCAACAAAAAAAAAAAAGAAAGAAAAGAAAAGAAATGGAGTTTCAGACCCCTCTTAGGCTTATTGAATGGTGGTCTTCATTTTAGCAAGATTCCTGAGTGATTGTAGACACAGTGAAGTTTGAGAAACACTGCTTTGATCGTATCATATAGATGAATGCCTAACTAACAGCTCACCTGATTTAGAGTAATGTGATGACAGCTGTGATTAGGAAGATGGGTCTGCTGTTTGTGATCGACTGAAATGAAGAAGTCCTTAAATCATAATGTCTCAGCCATGAGGCTGTGAAGAGTTGCAGTTAATTTTGTAATTTCTGCCACATGAATGAAGACAGGAACTATTACAGAGGAATAATTAGCAGAATTTTGTAACTGACTGGATATAAGAAATAAGGAAAGCTTGAACAGTAACAGGTTTTGAAAGTTTGTGATTAAATTTTGTTAATGCTAATTAAATGGGCATATCTGAATGAAAAGCGGGTGTTGGTGATTGGGAGGATAAAACGATTTTGGTGTTTGGTTTATTGATTTTGAGGTGGAGATAACCAGGTGTAGGAATCTGAGGTGTCAAGCCTTATATCAAAGAACGTTCAGAATCATCTGGGTAGTAGTGTTTATCAGATTGAAGTTTTGAAGTGAGATGCAAAAGTTGTTGCAGGCCTAGGACTGATTATTTATTAAGAAAGAGGTTAGAAGAAATAGGAAAAAGTCAGAGAGAGTTATGAGAATTAACTCAGAGTAATATATCAAGAAAAGATACGAAAGTTTTTAAGAAAATGTTGCTCTAGAGTTACAGTAAGAAGTAAGCCCTACAGAAAATATTTGACTATTATGTAGTTTCTTTTAAGGACAGCATGTAGCTAGTATAATTCTAAATTCATAGCCAGCCCAGGAGTTAATTCATGACTTAAAACAAATACTTTAACACATTAGTATTTAATTCTTTTCAATTGATTGGGAAGAGACATTAAAGTGTTGAGTTTTAGATGAGGGGTCTTTGATGACATTAAAGTTTCAATAGAGTGATAGTAGTAGAACCAAATTAAGGGAATGTATAATTGCAAATGATTGTTTTCCCAAATCTATGTAGAACTTTTACTCACCAGTAAGAAAAAAATAGACAGCTGGCTATAATAGGCATTTTGCAGAAGAAAAGATTCCAAATGGCTCATAACCATATGAAAAGATTTTCAACCTTATTCATAATCTGAGATATTCAAAATAAAATCTCAGTGGTATACCATTACATACCTATCAGATTGCAAACACTGAAAGGTCTGTGACAGTATCAGCTGGGTGACAATAACAACTGGTGAGTGTATGGACCAGCAGGAGCTCTAAGATTGGGAGTACGTTGTACTTTGGAAAGGTTTTTGAAATTATCTGATAAAGTTGAAAATAAGTACTAGCAATTCTACTACTAGGGATAAACTTGTACACAAATATGCTAACATACATGAATGGAAATGTTTCTTGTAAAATTGTTCAGATGAAGGTGGAACTTTATTGTCCTCCAATAAACTGTAAAGCAGTTAAAACTAATCTATACAATTGTATGTAAATCCAAATGATCTAAAAATAAAGTAAAATAAAATGAATTCCAAAAACAAGAAATTTAACCTAAATGTTTTGAGTATGAATGAATCTCCAGAACACAACGTTGAGTCAAAGAAAAACTACAAAAATACATATAGTCCAGTTCCATTCTTGAAAAGTTCAGAAACAGACTAAACTGTGTTGTTTAGGTTTGCATTTCTTGGTTGTAGAACTATAGTGAAAAATAAACAGTTGATCTCCAAAGTCAATATAATGGTTTCACATTGAGGGAGGCAAGGTTTTAAGATATAGCAGAGGAATGTGAGGAACTTGTGAGGTTCCAGTAATTTTGTTTAAGATGTGTGATGGTTTCATGGATGTTTGCTATAAAATTGTTCATTGCATATGCTGCATGTACTTTTTCATTTGTTATTTTACACTACATCTTGTAAAAGGACCTACATAAGGAAAATAATCATATCCATGAGAGGAAAATGTGAAATAAAAATAGATTTCAAAGTAAAATGTGAAACAAAAATTGGTTCTTACAATACCATCTGTTCTTGATGGTATTGAAAGAACTAATTCCAAATCCTGGAAATGAAAAAAAAATCATTGAAATAAAAACTCAATGCACACAGTAAACTAAAGACTGGACACAAAATTTATGAAGCCACTACTGAGGAATTTACACACAAAGAACCACATAACGATCGCTGGAAAACGTGAAAAGATAACTAAGAGATACTGGGGGCCAGAGTAGATGGAGAGGTTCTAAAATTGTTGCTTTACCCTGCGGAACTTTCTTATATTGGAAGAAGGATGGGTGGTATGTACATTCCAATAAACTTAACTGTTAGTGATGTTACATGTTAGCATGAGCTTAAAGTATATGTTGTAAATAAAAGTAGTAGAACACATTAGCAACCCTAATTGGTTGTTGTAGATACATGAGGAGTTAAAGGTTGAAAGTTTAAAAGGCAGTGTTTTAAATGAAACTGGTGAGTCACTTATTGGACCAAGAAAAACATTTCACCTTCAATGGGTAGGCTCAAAGGAACTTATTTTTTCTTAACATTTTAACAGTCATAATCATAACTTATTTTTAAAAGTATTTGCTTTAAAATTTTTTTTGCTGTAAAATGAAGAGATATATATGTATATCCTTATCTTCCAGAGAAGTAGTATCTTTAATCTCATAAAGGGAATTGTGATCTAGTTCACAGAAATTTTTTGTATAAAGTTGGAGGGAATTCATCTGTCCCTAAAGGAATGTATATTTTTATCAGGTAAAGCCATCTTTTTAGTGGTAGTATGAATTCTTGGTCTCATTTGTCCTAGACTGTAATTGATGATGGCATTACCTAAAAAGTGTGTGTGGATTTTATATGCATTTTTTCCAAGAATGTAATTGATGATGGCATTACCAAAAAAGTGTGTAGATTTTATATGCAGTTGTCCTTAAGCTTGTGAAATATGGCTAGATGTGACTTGGAAAGATAAACATGTTCTTGTTTGAATGTAACTAATTTTTTAAAAAATATTTAAACAGTTGAACCTACTGTGAGCCTGATAAAAGGGCCAGATTCTTTAATTGATGGAGGAAATGAAACAGTAGCAGCCATTTGTATCGCAGCCACTGGAAAACCCGTTGCACATATTGACTGGGAAGGTGATCTTGGTGAAATGGAATCCACTACAACTTCGTTTCCAAATGAAACAGCAACAATTGTCAGCCAGTACAAGCTATTTCCAACCAGATTTGCTAGAGGAAGACGAATTACTTGTGTTGTAAAACATCCAGCCTTGGAAAAGGACATCCGATACTCTTTCATATTAGACATACAGTGTAAGTAAATAGTAACATTTGCTTTTTTAATATTTGTCAGCATATTTATCAAACTATTTTTACTTTGAATATTTAATAGCTTTTCCTTGTTGTTTTTCTTTTAATTTTATGTTTTTGTGGAAATTGTATTTAATCAAAGCATTTTTAATCACTTTTTAAAAGATGAACAGATGACTTGAAAGTAGCTCTCCAACTTAAAATTGTATAACTGTTTCTTTTATGATCTTTAAAGTTGGCTGGACTTAGGGAGTTCTGGCAACATGTACCTCAAAATGTACAATGCTTAAGGACAAACAACTTCTACATTCTTACTAACTTAGCTGTTACTTAGTTTCACCGATGCTTCCCATCTTATTTTCTTTTTTGAGATGGAGCCTTACTCTATCACCAGGCTGGAGTGCAGTGGTGCAATTCTGGCTCACTGCAGCCTCCGCCTCCCAGGTTCAAGTGATTCTCTTGCCTCCCAAGTATCTGGGACTTCAGGCTTGTGCCAACACGTCTAGCTAATTTTTGTATTTTTAGTAGAGATTGGGTTTCACCATATTGGCCAGGCTGGTCTCGAACTCCTGACCTTGTTATCCGCTGGCCTCGGCCTCCCAAAGTGCTGGGATTACAGGCATGAGCCACTGTGCCCAGCCTTGTTTTCTTTGACTTCTTTGGATACATATTAATTAGTTTGAAAATCTGTATTTTTCAGTATTTTTTCTAATCTTGTCTCATTGATCATGTTATAAGCATTTTTTTAGGTAAAAAATAGTATTTTAAAGACATAATTGGATAATAACCATTGTAGATACAGGTTCAAAGCTGAGCCACCTTGTTACTTGTATACTTTTGTTAAGGGATACTTTCCTCTCTATGTGTTTATATATTCTTTTCTATCTGCTTTTCCCTTTAAATAAAGTTTCTTAGTTTTTAATACAATCTTTGTGATTTGTATACCATTTAAACATTTGGAGTAGGAGAAAAGGTGATGGCTGCAGATAGTTTATAGCAAGGATAATGAAAATTAGGTAGATCAGAGATAACATTGGGAAAAGTATTTAGGTTCTGCTTTTACTTCTATCCATGTGCAGATTATAATCTAGGTGTTATTAAAGGAGTTGTTCTCTTTTTTGTTGTTGCTACTTACTTGCTTTTTGATATGACATGCATGGAATTTTAAATTACACAAATTCATTACTTTGGTGTAATGGTTTTTAAAGCTAATTCCCAAGATCTTTTTCAACATTTATAGGGTTAACTTGAAAAGCCATAGTTTACAAAATGTTATTCCCATTGCATTCTTAAATGCTAATACCATCTTTTCTCAATTCTCTGGAGAATCCCATTAAAAATTTTTTTTTCCTTCTCCTACCTTGCTTTTACAGAGTCTTAACTTTTTTCTCTTTCTCATAAAATTCAGATCCCAATTGTAAGTTATTTTGCGTATGCATATATGTTTTCCTTTCAGTGTCTAATAATGACTGATATATTCATCAATTTGTATTTTTTTGTTTCTTGAATGAATTCTTAGATATATGAAGTATTTCTTCTAATGTGAGTGTTTATAACATGATTTTGATTTATTGGCTTGCCCTTAAAATGTTTTTGAATAGTCATGACTTTTTTCCTTCTGTAAATTAGAGACCTATAGAACATGTAAACAAACTTAAATATTGTCTTATATCACAAACTTATACCTCAAAATTTAGAAATATCCTTTTGGGATACTTTAATGCCTTTTGTAAACTTTGCTTTCCAGTAGGACAGTCTTCCCTGGCAAAGGTAAAAACTTACCTGGTCTCTCTCTAGCTTTTTATCAGATCATCTGCTGCTAAGTTAGGTTTCTATGTAGTTCACAGAAAGATATTCTCTGCATCATACGTAAGTAACTAACACCTCCCTAGGGAAGCCTTTTATCACCTCCTCCACCCCATCCCCAATCTAAATTAGGCCTTTCTTCTTATCTTCTCTCATAGCATCCTATTCTTTTTCTTCTTGGCCCTCATAGAGTTTTAGTTCAATATTTTTAAATGTCATCTTCCCTATTACTATTAGAATGTAAACTTTATGTATCTAAGTCTTTATGTATACCAAACACCTAAAAGAGTATATTATTTCTAAGTGCCATGCCTGGCATTTATAAGGAGCTAAACAGAATGATGGTTGAATGAATGATAGGTATTGGACTTAGTAGTTTGGAGATACATATTTACATTGCTGATAGATATGGATAATTGCTCATTCAACTAGTTATGACCTTTGGGTACATGGAATGCATAAAAGTTTGTTTTAGTACATTTGAGGCCCTAGATAATTTACTTTTGTTGTAAGTATGTAGTCATAGAAAGTCTGTGTTTTTACATGACCCCAAAATACTAATTGTAACATAGGGAATCTAATCTCTGTAATTGACCTGTTATCTCTTAGAGGATATTTCCTTTTAGATTAAATATCTCTTTAAAAACTGTTTTATATGGTGAGTTGGTACTACATGGTACTTAAATGCCATGTCTTATTTAATTAAATACTGTAACATATTTGCTTTATCCTGTATCTCTATATCTCACATAATGGGATTCTTTTATTTTGCTTTTGGTGATTATAGGTTTATGAATATTCCTTAACATTTAGCATGTCTAATTACTCAAACTGTATGTACTATAATTACCCATTTGGGGGTACTCATTCTCCATTCATTTCATTCTTTCAGCCAGCCAATACTTCTGGAGTAGTGTCTTCCATATAGATTATATATGTTGAGAGTAAGGAAAAATGATTCCTGTTTCAAGGCTTAGTCTATTGTGTTAATAGATGTTTTACCATGTATATTGCATTTATCATTAACAAAAGATAATCTGTCCTGTCATGCGTTTATTTTATAGATGCTCCTGAAGTTTCAGTGACAGGTTATGATGGAAATTGGTTTGTAGGAAGAAAAGGTGTTAATCTCAAATGTAATGCTGATGCAAATCCACCACCATTCAAATCTGTGTGGAGCAGGTATGTCATATACTTTAAAAGTCAATTATCTAAAAGTGAAACATTCTTAATCCACGTTCAAAATTGTTTTTATCTGTATAATTCATGATTATAGTAATAGCAGAACATTTTACTTTGTCCTCTCTTGCCCTACCTGTCCCACCTTCCTACTCCCTCAGTTCTGTTTTTCAGAGGCTACTTCAGCAATTTTAGCAGTTTCTTATGGTTAGTTACAGTCACAGGCCTTAAGCTGCTACTTCTTAATACTTTTTAACATTGACTGTTGACTTCTTAGATAAATAAGTATAATTTTATGTCTACTCCTTTATTCACAAACACATCCCTATACAAACATTTCTACCTTTCATAGTCCACATGAACATTTAGCTACTTTTAATTAAACTCAGTAATCATTTAGCTCTTAGTAACATGTACCTGTCCTAGAGTCTGCCTCTCTAGGACAGGTACATGTTACTAAGAGCTAAATAATATACCAGACTTCTGTTTTCTCTTGTCTATGGCCATTTGTTTTCCATATGGCTAATATTTGCCTCTTTACTTGTATAATTACTATGTGCATAATTTTCTATGAAATTTCAAACTGTTATACTAAGGTTTTTATTCATATTTTATCAGTATTTAGGGCCCATTTTGATCTTCAGATGTGTATCAACTTGAATAATTTTTTAATTTTTTGGTCATTTCTTTTTTTTTTGAAGGAAAACTTGTATTGTTTTAATTATTTTTATGTACAAAAACTCAACAGTGTACATTTAACCCAGTTTCTTGGCAAGTTCTTTAGCCTTTCCCTTTTCGAGCTTGGCAATGCAAGCCACAGACTTGGGACCCAAGACATTGCCTCCCCAGTGACGGCGGATCTTATCATCTGTCACTATATTTGGTGCGTATAGCTTCCACCAGCTTAGCTAAAGCACCTTTGTCTTCCGAGTTAAACTGTGTGAAGGCGACAGTGGTGCAGGTCTTCCTGTGAACTAGACATCCCAGTCTTGCCTTCCCCTTGATAATGGGGTGAGGGACTCCCATTTTACGACACAAGGCAGGCAGGAAGACAACCGGCTCAATGGGATCCACGTCATGTGCAATAACCACCAGCTGAGCTTTCTTGTTCTTCACCAAGGTGGTGACGACGTTAACTCCTGCTCGAAGGATAAGTGGTCTCTTAGTGGGGATGTCCCCTTTACCAGCTGCTTTCTTCTTGGCCCGGACCAGCAGCCTCTGCTTCTTCTCTTGCTTCATCTCCAGTCTGTACTTGTGGGCCAGCTTAAGCAGCTGAGTAGCTGTTTGGCAGTCCAGGGCCTGGGTGAACTGGTTAATTGCAGGAGGCACTTTCAGCCGCTTATAGAGGATGGCTCTCTGCCGCTGCAACCTGATATAGCAGGGCCATTTCACAAAGCGGGTGAGGTTTCTTTTGAGCTGGATGTCCTGTGCAATGCCAAAATTCTTAGGCCTTTTCTCAAACAGGGGATTCACCACTTTCTTGGCCTTCTTCTTCACGACGGGGGGTGGGGGGGTGGGTTTGGAGCCACCTTCTTCCCCTTGGCCCTCTTTCCTTTCGGCGTCTTGGGCGGCAAGAAGAGAGCTCCTTTTTGTTGTTGTTGTTTTCATTCCTCTTCACTCTTTTTAGAACTCCTATTTATTGTATAATAAATATTCTTTTTGTGTGTGTGTATTTTCAGATGATCTTACTGTTCTTCCTAGAAGATTTTCTTGATTTAAAAAAAAATTTCCATTGACTTGATACAAAAATTTTTTTTTGCCTATTTTCAGTTTATAAGAGCATCTTCTTAAGAAAATATTCTTTAGAGAATGAGAAGATGCTCTTATAAACTGAAAATAGGCCAACAATAAAAATGTTTTTTTATAGCACCTGTTTGATGAATGTAGTATCTTTCTTGTTACTCCTGGGGATACTCCAGTTACTTCTTCCCCAGAGAGTTTTTTTTTGCTTCCTGCATATTGTCTCTTTTCCTTCCAGGTTCTTTGGTTTTTTGGTTTGGTCTTTCATTGTGTACATATTTCTTCATCTTGTTGGTTGTCTGGTCTTTCACTGTGAAGCATTAAAATAAAATGCTTAGTGGATGCTCTTTCTGTAGTCGGGATTGCTCATTAAGATTCCAGTTAGAGTGATCATATGGAGATGTGATTATTTTCCTGGGGAGGCTCCAGATATCACTAATAGAAGAGTATAAGCCTTTACTTCACGGCCAGTTTATTTCTAGAATTAACCTGCATTTTATTTGCCTGAGAGATAAATGTCTGGTATTTGTACAGAGTCGGGAGGAATCTATTGTTTTGTTGTGTATCTTTTAACTAGCTCTTGGCCTCCTAGTCTTCTGAGGTATAGTGAATCAAACTCCAAATTTTTTTTTTGATTATTTGACCAAATTGGCTGCTTTCTCATCATGTGCCTTTTGTAAGCAACTCTTCATCTTAAAGTAAAACTTTTCAATCTTGGCACTATTGATATTTTAGGCTGATACTTCTTTTTTGTAGTGGGCAGTCCTATGAATTGTAGTCTATTTAGAACCATCCCTGGGTTGAGAAACATGGACCTCTAAGGCATATATTGTTTTTAAATCTATTTTCTATCTTCTGAAAGTTTGTTGAATCATCTTGTCTGTTGAATTCAGAAGGCATATATTGTTTTTAAATCTATTTTCTATCTTCTGAAAGTTTGTTGAAACATCTTGTCTGTTGAATTCTGCCTCCTGTTTTCTTTTCTCCTCCAGGGTTTTTAATAACTTTTTAATTTCTGAACTCTTTCTGGTGAGATTTTAGGGAATTAGGAAGCACTATATCTGGTCAATTGGTTGTCTTTTTTTTTTTTTTTAGAGACGGAGTTTCGCTCTTGTTACCCAGGCTGGAGTGCAATGGCGCGATCTCGGCTCACTGCAACCTCCGCCTCCTGGGTTCAGGCAATTCTCCTGCCTCAGCCTCCTAAGTAGCTGGGATTACAGGCACGCGCCACCATGCCCAGCTAATTTTTTGTATTTTTAGTAGAGACGGGGTTTCACCATGTTGACCGAGATGGTCTCGATCTCTTGACCTTGTGATCCACCTGTCTCGGCCTCCCAAAGTGCTGGGATCATAGGCGTGAGCCACTGCACCCAGCAGTGTCTCGCTTTTTATTGTCACAGATGCCCACCTTACAAATGCAATAATTTTATAAGAAAACCCATTTTGCTGCTTTAGAAACTATGTTTGGATGGAACACAGTGTCTATTGGTATTAGCATTAAATGATGCTCTATAAATATGTTATAGAGGGTGTTAAAACATGATTACATATTTAAGTGAGATGACTTCATTAAGATTATTGTAGATATGTCATAAATAAATATGACATATTGTAGATATGTCATAAAATTCTCACTGATTCAGTGAGAATTTTAATTTCTCTGATATTGTATGTATGTATATTATCTTCAAATAATACATTTTTCCAACTTCCAGTTTCTGAATAAATTTTTTTTATATTTTTTTTCTGCTTTTCTACCATTTTATTATGTTGGCATAGCAACTCTTACATGGACTGCTATTTTGGAAGAATGGGTGTTAATGGCATTTATTCATCTTTATTAAAATGAAAATTTGTTACTTTTTGTATACTTAGTGAATTTTGTATAAAAGATACCTTTTTAGTTTGACTAACATCTCAAATTTAATGTCTCATTTTAACTAGCTGTCAGTAAATGTAGTCTGAAGATATTTAAAATAATTTTATGCATTTTAAAATCTAGGTTGGATGGACAATGGCCTGACGGTTTATTAGCTTCAGACAATACTCTTCATTTTGTTCATCCATTGACTTTCAATTATTCTGGTGTTTATATCTGTAAAGTGACCAATTCCCTTGGTCAAAGAAGTGACCAAAAAGTCATCTACATTTCAGGTAAGTTACTATCTGCTTGCAAAATATGTTATTTAAAATATTTCTGAATAATCATCATAACAGTATGATCCTAAGCAATAATTTTTACATGCAAAGATACAGATTCCTCAGTGTGAAGTTTTTCCAAATAATCTAAAAGGAATGTGATAAAATAACCCTAATCCTGAAATAGGTATGTAATGTGGCATCCTATATTGAAATGTCAAAATGTCTATGCAACAAGTTTATATACATTTTGAAGCCTGTACATACAGTTAATTTTTTAGTTCAGCAGTATTGACTATTTAATAAATAGTATGACTTTCTAGATTCTTTAATTTTATACTAAGAACAAATAATGATTTTTGTTTTCTTTTCCTTTGATGGCCACTTTGTACACAGTTGTCTGGTAAATAAAATGGACTATTAAATTTGATGACTTGGCTTGTTAAATAACATTGTTTGCCACTTAATATGGGACTATACCATATTGTGTTACTGAGACGTGATGAAATAGTTATGCTACTGAAAATGTGTTAATGAAATAAAATTTATGATGCTTTTTATTGTCCTTAAACCACTAACAGCTTAGATTTTTCACATTCTGTTTGTTTCATTGTGAATATTTTTATTAATTTGGCTGAGTATAAGTTCGATCATTCATAAAATATAGAGAGAACTAAAAGTACATTTTTTCCTGGTTGTGGCTTCAGGTAATAAATTATCAGTAGAATGCTTATTTTAAAAAAATTCAATAAAATATTTTGAGTTCTTACTCCTTACTGATTGCAAGAATATAGCAATCTTCCTGTCAAACAAATGGAAAATTAAGAGGGAAAAGGAAGAGAACCTAAGAAATGCAGGTTTGTATGGTAATTATTGGAATAAACAGTTAAGAGTTTTAGCTTTGTTCAAATCTAGAACTAGATAAATTAGAGGTTTTGGAGAAATTTTGTGTTTGCTTAAGTGTTATATTCTTAGTCCTTGTGTGATCAATCTAAGAACAGTACCACATATTATTTTCTTAGAGCAGGCACCACAAATGTTTAGTTGTATGCTCATTTCTTTGCTTACTATTTACCTTCACTATTTAGCAATTTGTGCTTGCTTTATTCACCACTGCATACTCAGCAATGAGCATTGTGCCTGGCACATGATAGAAATGTAAACTTTTTCTTTTTTCCATGACTCTAGCAAAAAGCTTAGAGCTGCCCTATCCCTTTCTGCCAGTATCAGTGCTTTCATGGAAATCTGTTTGTATTTTTTTTTCGTTTGAGACATGGTTTCACTCTGTCATCCAGGCTGGAATGAGTGATGTGATCTTGGCTCACTGCAAGCTCTGCCTCCCAGGCTCAATCAATCCTCCCACCTCAGCCTCCAGTAGCTGAGACTACAAGTGTGCACCATCACCCTTAGCTAATTTTTGTATTTTTTTTTGTAGAGACAGGATATCACTATATTGTCCAGGCTGGTCTTGAACCTCCTGAGCTCAAGTGATCTTGCCCACCTCAGCCTCCTAAAGTGCTGAGGTTAGAAGCATGAGGCACTGTGCCTGGCTGGAAATCTGAATGAGGTTACATATTAGTACATTAGTCTCTCTTTCTTTAGTTAGAGAGTAAACCAGGGAAATGCACATTTAAAATACACTTAAGGACTGTTTATTTTGTGTTTCTGTTGTACAGTTTGGTGTGGATATTACTTGTAAACATTAGACTCAATATGTCTATGTAATCATTTAAATATCAGGGCTTGGCTGGGCGTGGTGGTTCACACCTGTAATCCCAACACCTTGCTTGGGGCGCAGAGGTGGGCGGATCACCTGATGTCAGGGGTTTGTGATCACCCTGGCCACCATGGTGAAACCTTGTCTCTACAAAAATTATAAAACTTAGCCAGCGTGGTGCTGTGTGCCTCTGATCCCAGCTACTCTGGAGTCTGAGGCAGGAGAATCACTTGAACCTGGGAGGCAGAGGTTACAGTGAGTTCAGATTGTGCCATAGATGACAGAGTGAAACTCTGTCTCAAAAAAATAAAAATAAAAACTAATTAATAAATATCAAGGCTTATTTTGGACTCTTATATGTACTGATTTCATTGATGATATCCTAAATTTATACTCTGTTAGCATTCTGAGTTCAGTGTTCAGTACTCCTAACTTGTGCATCCAGTTACCTGTTAATGATCATTAACTCTCTGTGGTAGTCTGATAGGTATTTGCAACTTAATATATTCAAATCTGAGGTTCTCACCTTTCTACTGTTCCTTGATACCACACATATTTCTGTACCCGTCTTCCTTCTTTAAGTTACTGGTCCTTCTTTCCTTAGATTTGTTCAGCGTACCACCCTTGACAGTTATTCTTGATTTTACTTTTTCTCTCAAACCCTGTTGAATTCATTAACAAATCAGTGCTAGCTCTTCCATTATGTTAAATACAGAATCTTACCAGTTCAACTCTTCTACTACGACACTAGTCTAAGCCATAGCCACTCTTACTTCACTATTACAGTAACCATTTAATCTCCCTGCTTTGCCTCTGTCCCCCTTCCCTTTGTCAGCAAATGAGCAGCTAGGATGGTTATTTAAAAGGGCGGGTCAGATCATGTCTCTTCTCCGCCAAACCTTCCATGGGCTTCCCATTTTACCCACAATGAAAACCATATCCTTATAGTGACTCACAAGGCTCTATACATACCCTCCTCCCAGATGATCTCTCTAATCTCATTTCTTACTATGTTTTGCTTATTGGCTAAGGCACTACTGGTGCCTCAAACATAATAGGCACATTCCTACCTCAGAGTCTTTTGCATTTGCTATTTTCACTGCCTGGAATGCTTTCACCAGGTATTCTCATAGCTCTTTCCCTCACTTCTTAAGGCCTTTGCCCTCACATTTTTCAGTGAGGTCTTCCTTCACGACTATATTGAAATAAAATAACCTCCCTTCCCACCCCTTGACTACTCCTGGTCCCCCTTCTTTTTCTCTTCAGTACGTATTGCCATGTAACCACATGTATTGCCATATAAATATGTAAAATATTTACATATTTTATTGTTTTTATATGCTTGTCTGTTTTTACACTTACTAGAACATAAGTCTAAACATAAAGTCTGCTTTAATTACTGCTATGTTCCCATTATCTACAATGCTGTTTAGCATGTGATAGGCATTCAATACAGTTTTGTTACATGAATGAATAAATTTGAGACTAAAACAATTGGGAATCAACTTACAAATCCAGAATCTGCTTTTATGTAACTATAACTCCTTAAAAAGGGAAATCAAATTTTGAGTAAATATGGACAAAATCACAGTTTAAGCACTTTCAAAGAAGTAGCGTTATTAGAGACAATTCTTTTTTTTAACGGAGATAGAGCCTCGCTCTGTTGCCCAGGCTGGAGTGCACAGGCATGATCTCAGCTCACTGCAATCTCTACCTCCTGGGTTCAAGCAATTCTGCCTCAGCCTCTCAAGTAGCTGGGACTACAGGCACATGCCGCCGCACCCATCTAATTTTTTGTAATTTAGTAGAGACGGCGTTTCACTGTGTGGCCCAGGCTGGCCTCGAACTCCTAATCTCGGTCAATCCACCTGCCTTGGCCTCCTCGAGTGCTAGGATTTAGGAGTGAGCCAGGGCACCCATCTGAGAATTTTTTGTTTAACTAATCAGTAATTAGACTTGACTTTTCTATCCAGAGTCTGTAATATAGTATACCATGCTGAGATTAGTTAAGTCATCTAATAACTGGTTGGAGTATGTCAAGTATCTTAGGTATAATGCTGCCTTTCCAGAATGACTATTTAGTAAAACCTAGTAGTTTTTTATGAAAATAAGAAGCCATAATTCACACAGTAAATGACCAGTTGATCTTTTTCATTGTTACATGTACTCATTTTTTTTCTAGGAAAAAATTTTTACCTCAGTATTAAAATAGGTATTTTAAAATTGGAGAAATAATTTTTAATATGTGTAAAATAAATGCATCTTAGGACTAGAGATGAAAAGTTCTGTTCAGAACAGAGTAAGCAACTCTAAGGGAAATTGTTCTTACTTTTGTTACACATTTTCCCACATTGATAAATGTAAGATATTGGTAAGAGGTTTCTGATTCAGGATAGCAATATTTTATTTTAGTTATTAAATTGTATTTAATTATAGAATAATAATGCTCTCAAGGAGTATAGTAGTTCCTTGTCTAGTACTTACTGACTACTGGAAATTTTGTTTTTCTGGTTTGCTACTGATGTATATTTTTCCCTTAACTGACAGCTGTTAATTTAGTGTGTCAAATAAGTCCCCCAATGCCTAAAACCCTTATTTTTGTGCAAAACTTGAATTTCAGTTCATACGGATTTTAGGATCAAAGTGTAGTATCAAACTTAAGAATTTGCTACTTAGCAATCCTTAAACATTAAAATACATTATTTCGTATATTTAAACAACCTATATGAAGTCTAAACGAAAAATAAGCCAATTTTTATGACACTAAAAATATACCTTAGAAGACTAAAATATATCATTTACAGGGCATTACTTGACTCCATTTTGTGGTTTCGCAGCACTTACTAGAAAAGGAAACTTAAAGTTCTTTGTTTGGGTGAGAAGAACTTAAGAGTTGTCATATCCATTGCATACTCATTTATCACATAGTCAGCAAAGAATATGAAAAACAGTATCTAACTGAAAAATGAGGACTGCTTTGGGAGGGGCTTAAAATCGTGATGTATTAGAAATAGTACTGCCTTATAATAATTGTGACTCTCATTGATTTTTGTTTTTTTCTTTCTTTTTTTTTAATTTTCATTTTTTGAGACGGTGTCTTGCACTGTCACCCAGTCTGGAGTACAGTGGCTCGATCTCGGCTCACTGCAACCTCTGACTCCTGGGTTCAAGCCATTGTCTTGCCTCAGCCTCCCTAGTAGCTGGGCCTACAGGCATGCACCACCACACCTGGCTAGTGACTCTCATTGTAAATTCAAAAACAGATAAAATATTTTGCATGCATTATCATATTTCTATC